ATACAGACTGCAATAACCCTACCATACACACAGAGTGTTACCCGAACTACAGATTACTAAAAGCTTGCGGGCCAACGCGCGGCCCCAAAAAAAAAATATGGCTGCCCGTTTCTTATTTTACGCGAGCAGGGGGCCGGGTCTACTACCGCCCCTCACAACTTTTTTTTTTTTTTTTCGACCCCCATTTTCGGAGGTGCGCCGCATGCAGTGCGCGCGCGCCGTGCGGGATGCGCCGTGCGGCGCACGTGCGCAGTGCAGCGCATCGCGATGCGCCGCATGTATGGGTAGTATACATGGGTTTGAAAGGGCGGTGAGGGGTATACATGGGTTTTAAAGGGGGTTGAAAGGGGTTTTGACTTCCAAGGGGCATATTTCGGTTTGAGTTTTTGTTTTTATTTTTTATTTCCGAGTTTATAAGGAATTCTGTAGTGGCCCTCAGCCAAAAGATGGTCGCATTGCAATTCTGGACAACATAATTTTTTTACAGAATTTTTTGATTTTTTTTCCCCAGAATTTTGGGCCCCACCGAAGTTGCCACCAATTTACTGGAATATAAAGCCTGGGAGTTGTATTCATATACAAAGCCCGGTCGTTGTTTTCGGGTGAAGACGGTAGGACAGGAAGCGTCATTCAGATATTTGCAGTCCAATACATTACCTGCATGTTACCCTTTGATTTGGTTGATGAAAACTACAGGAGTGGAGCAATGACTTCTTTTTGCATCCAAAAAGCAAATGTGTTTGACTCATCTACGTGGGAGTGTTCCACAAAAAAGAAAGGTGTTACCAGATAAGATGATGGTAGTTGACGCCGGGTCATTTGTTGGGACTTGGAAACATGAGCCAGAAGGAAGAAGGAAAATTGGTGGTTGAAACACGGCTGAAAACTCTGTTGATTTTTTTGAAATTTTGAAACGTGAACTGCGAAGGGAAATTGGAGATGTGGGGAACAGTGAGATGAATTCAGAACTGAGCTCGGTCTGGGGCTTAAGGGATGTAGGGTCGTTCAGGATTGGGTGTGAGTACTTTCTAAACTGGCCCGTGAAAATATGGCGTTACACGACCCCAGCCTTGCAGAAAATCGCAAGTTGCCAACACCGAAATTTTCTGGGCCTGGGGCCATCGGACGACAATGGCTGGCGGCGTCAGCCAAAAAAGAGGAAAAGTGTGCGCCGCTGGTGTACTGGTGGTTTAAACTTCCAGTGCCAGCCCGTGAAGCAAATTTTTTGAGTTCCAACTAGTCGGACTAGCCTTCTGCTGGCCAGTACATACCTCCATGTATGCTACAGATGCTTTAAGTTTACTCTTTTCCGACTTGTCACTTCGTGAAACGCTTTTGCTGTATTCCGTCATCCTGGACCCTTGCCCTCTGTTCGCCCAGTCTCCTAGATGAAACAGAATTTGGTTCCTGCGAGTAACATGCAGTGTGGAGTTTGTTAACCTTTTGTGATGTATCTGCCGCTGCTTGTTTCTGAATCCCAGAGTTTAGATATCGATCAGATTGTTGCAGCTCATCGGGAGAAGCAGAGTTCGCAAGTCACCCCTATACGTGGTGCTGATTTCCGTACGTTGGGAAGCCCCGAGCCGAACAAGGAACAAGAGTGCTCCACCAGAGGACAGCCTCAGGAGTGCAGCACGCCAGTGCAGCGGGTGCCTGATCTTGAGTGGATTTGTTCCCATGGCACACAAGTATGGATTTTGTGCTTACCCCTTTCCCTTCTTCGGCTCTCTACTCAGCACGCCTGGAGTGGATGTGCTGATGCTTATGTATATTTTAGCAATTGCAATCTCTAGAAATTTGGTCATGAGAAGTGGAAATGGCATTGCAGCCTCCTGTGCGATCATGGATGCATGTGTTTGTATTAATGGTTGCGCAGTGCGCACCCAATTGCATTTTGTCTGTTTTGTTCTCCAAGTTCTTTTGTGCTTCTGGTTTCTGCTGGATCATCAATGGTGTCTGATTCGGGTGTGTGGAGCTTTTAGGACCTTACTCTTTAAATCATTTTGTCTTCTGCCTGTGTGTATGTATGTGCCTCTTTCCCTGCTCATGTTGGATTCCCTTTCTTTCAGGTGTATATCTCCTTGATTCTCCAGCTCTTCTGGTGTATGTCTCCTTGATTCTCTTGCTTTTCAGGTGTATCTCTCCTTGATTCTCTTTGCTTTTCTGGCGTATATCTCCTTGATTCCCTTGCGTTACAGTTGTACATCTCCTTGATTCGCTTCCTTTTTAGGTGTTGCGTTTTGCCTCTGTGTTTCTGTATGTTCTTTTGTGCTTCTGCTTTACTCTGGATTATCAATGCTCACGCGGTGTGTGGAGCTTACACTTTTGTGCTGTTCCCGGGTATGTGCCTCTTTTTATTGTTCCTCGCCTCTCTTCCATTTCAGGTGTATCTTTGTGTGTCATTGCCAGAACACCTTAAGGAGCTCAAGGACCAGCTATTGGTTGTCCTTCAAAAGATGGTAGATAATGCCAATGACTTAAGCCCCATGCGCTCAGAAGAACTGCGGAAGGAGAGGTACACCATTCAGATTACATCCAAAGCTATTTTTTGTATCCGCTCATTTAGCAACCCACGTAGCTACCCATGGGGATTCTCAAGGTGGTCATTGTTGTTCGAGTCTAGTTTCCTTCTTGGAGCCATGGTTATCCCCCTACCTTATTCCCGCACTCACGACCCTTGGAAGTTATGTCGAAATGATGTTTTCCCAGGAGTTGTTTTCGTCTACAGTTGACGGCGAGTTGCATTCACAAGTTCTTTCTGGGGAGGGCCAAAGTTAAGAAAAAACCTACAAAATTCTGGCAAAAAAAGGTAACGAGCAGCACAATACAAATGACTTTGTCCAAGTTTGTCGTGAGTTCCATCACAGGATTCAAAGCTGAACTCAAAAAAAATTAAAAAAATTGCCATTGGAGTTACATCTGCATTTTTCAGAGTTCAGGGTACTAGTGTTATGAACTTGGTTGTTTGACGATTTTTACCGCCACTCACACACAGACAGTCTCATACACGCCCATACATGCATAAAAGAACGGGGAGAGGAGACAGAGACCACTGCACACAGATCAGAGTAAACAGCGAAAGTTCAGCCGTGCACAGATGGGGAGAGGACACTGCGTGTTTCTCACTCTCTGACAAACTCCCAACAACCAATCACAAGAAGAAACCTGCGAGTATAACAATTGGAATTCACACTGATGAAGAGCCAACTAAAACCAGATATCGTTACAGAGTTTGTTCCAGTATCTCGCCACACTCAGAACCCCACACTCCACTCTCTACCCTGCACCCAGTTAGTAGCGCAGAACCAAAACAGCCTCCTAGAGGCCAGCGCCAACCACCCAGATGAAGACCAGATCCTGCAATGGAGTCTTCAGTGCCGATGGACAACTCTGACGAAGAAACAGGCAGCTATGGCTGCCGCCACCCACAAACACTCAGTGAAGAGCCTTGATATAGCCTGGCCAAACGCAGATACCCCCAGGGTAGATGCGCTGAGGGTGCCCCAGCTCCAGCAACCTTCAGAAGGGCCAGCTATGGCTGCCGTCCAAGGCAAGGGTCTCAGGATGCCGCCTGCAGACAATTGCCACCACCAACTTCCTTGGCTACTCCAAACGCTGCTTCGCGAAAAATGAACAGCCAAAAGTCCTGAATCGATTTTCCTAAACTATTAATAGATCTCTACTACCCTAGCCTAGACCTATACCAGACGGACTGGACCGACCGGTACCGTTTCAGTTTGGGCCTCTAGGCCTCTCCCTACCCGGCTATAGGCTATAGGACCGTCTATCGGTATAGGCCATTCAGGCCTGTCCGTCCTAGGGGTAGTCCGGGTCTGCTATACACAGTACGGGTAGCTGTAGGAAATTCGAAATAGTGCTGGGCCTATATTTCCCATATTTTCAGATATGGCCCTCACGAATTTGCCTTACAGGTAGGTCTCTTGGTTAGCCCTCAGCCAAACAAAATTACGACTCTAACCTACTGCTGTTACTGTACAGCCTCGCAGTCAGTCTTGGCAGTCAAAATCAGCAAGTCATTGCACTAGTACAGTGCCGTCCAATTGCAGAAAGAAATGAATGAACTTGAGAGGAGAGAGAGGATTAGAAGAAGAAGAAGTAAGAAAGAAGAAGAAGGTGATGTACACCAGCACAGACAAATGACAAGGCTCTTCTTGTTCGCCCAACAATCTTTTCCTCCTTATCTCCCCCTTCTCTTATTCATACAAGAAATAATAATACAATGTTGAATGGCTGATCCAGAATCAATGTCCGAGTTCCTCTTCTACTGCAGGTATCACTTGACGTCCACCATAGCCATGGCCGCCTCTCCCACTCTTCAGTCTCATAGGCCGAGGCTATAGCGGACTACTAGGCCTTGCCCAGATGCCCAAAGGACAACCCAAAGCAGCTATGGCTGCTCTAGCTCAGGCCGCCATGCCTGACCCTGCCTCGAAGCTTCTTGGTGTGGCTCTCCCCAGTTGGGGACTCCCTGCTGCAGCGCCCACCAAGGTGATGAAGATGGCTGCCACCATATTCAGGTAAGTATCCCTGGCGCTCCTCCCCCTTCCTTCCTTCTTCCTCCCTAGTGTCCTTCTCCTTCCTCCCCAGCAGCGCTCCTCCAGCATAGCGCTGCTCCAGCCAGTGCTCCAACCAGTGTGTCGCCAAACTTGCACACCGAAAAAGAGGCCGGGCTCTTTGCCCGACTGGGAGATATAGCGGCCTGCTTGCCTCTTCGGGCGGTGACTTCCAGGCCGCTCGGCCTTCCAAGCAACTGGTACCTCCTCCCTTTGGGAGGGAAACATCATTGCAGACTCTGATATTGCCCACACAGGCCCTAGACCCAGACTGGTTGGACTGGTATCCACCTAGACCTAACCTACAACTACTGGGCGTCTAAAAATGCCACGTTTGTCTTCTTCTACTCGGCCTCCAGTACCCGCACATCTACCCCTTCAGGGTGCGGTACCGGTCTACCCGCTACTAGAGTGTTTTTCCTGCTGCAATCCCTCAATGTCATGGCCACAGGTAAGTGCCGGTCCTGAGGGCCCAATGAACGAGCAAGTGCCCTTGTGGGCCACACACACTCAAGCCAACCAGCACTCAGACAGCGCGGCCACATGCACACTCAAGCCCACCAGCACTCAGACAGGCACGACCACACACACACTCAAGCCAACTAGCACTCAGACAAACATGCAGTCCAATAAGCGTGCACACACAGACTTAGTAGCAAGCGGGAAACTCAGCAGGCATTCAGTCTATGGGCAAAACTCAGAAATCAGCTGTGCGTTTCAGGCCATGTTTGGACGTGTCATCACACTACTCCCCCCTCAAGAGCGAGGTCCCTTCGAGCGAGTAACTCATTTTGAGTCCTCGACAAACGCATCGTAAGCAAGCAAGGCAAAGAGGTTCCTAGAGTACTCTGTTGCAGTGAGTCTTGCAGAGATCTTAGGTACAGCGTTAGTGGCGATTTGTCGCTCGTAGGCTTTGACAACGTGCGGTGCGCTGCGTAGCAGTTCCTGTTTGGAAATCCAGTACAGATCGTCTAATGGGTGATACATGAAGTGAACCTGGTACTGTCTGTTGCGTCCCTTCCCTACGTGCTGTTTGATTCTGTCTATCTCATGCCCGCCTTTGATCGCACAAGGGATCATGTCTTCTCGATAGTCGAATGTCTTAGCATCACGGTGGAGGTACAGTTTCGATGCATGGAACACGGGGTATGTGCGCAGATGGGCTGGCACATCAACTACGTACGAAGGGCCAAAGTGGTCTTCGCCAATCACATCCAAAACTTCCCACGGTCCGTAATAGAGTGGGAGAATTTTGCGAGAGACGCCTTCTTCTTCTGAGAATTCAGACATCTTGACCCAGACATAGCTTCCTACCTGAATGTCCGACGGTCTGCGCCCCTTGTTCGCATGATGGATCATGGCGTGTTGTCGCTTGGTCATGGCTGCAATGGCAACCTTGACCAAGCGATCATACTTGGCCCTGAAGCCAGGCCTCCCGGGTGTGAAGCCAGCTGGCTGATCAGGGAATAGGTAGGAGAGCTGATTACGGATCTGTCAACCGAGATGCAGCCTGCTAGGTGTCATGCCGGTTGCAGAATGGATGGAGTTGTTGTACAACCCCCAAATGGAATACAACTCTTCATCCCATGTTTCCTGATCCGGAATAATCAAAGCGCGAAGAAGTTGGAACACAGTCTGGTTGATTTCGTCAGCCAAACCGTTGGCTTCAGGGTGTCGGCCAGATGTCATACACAGCCTGATCCCCAGATGAGACGTGAACTCCTTCCATTCAGTACTAATCCCGATCGCTTACGAAGTCTTCGGGGTTCCGAACTGCAGGATGTACTTCTGTTGGAACTCACGAATCACTACTTCTGTTGGGGCGTGCGGCCGCAAAGGGATCAAATTGAGAAACTTAGAGAATCAGTCAACAATCACCATGACTTGTGAGTAGCCGTTCTTACTTACCTTTCCCATGCCGGTGAAGTCAATGGAGACGGACTCCCCGGGACCATCGGGAATGGGAAGGGGTGCGAGTAGGCCCATGGGCTTTTGTCTGCATGGTTTGATTCGTTGACAAACTTGACACTCAACCGCAAACTTTTCAGCAGTCCCTTTCATGCCAGGCTAATCAAACTGTTGCAGCAGATTTGTACGTCTTTGCCATGCCGAAGTGTCCGCTCCGACCATGAGCCAAATCGAGAAAATGCGTGCGGAAAGGCTTATGGTTGGGCACACACAAGCGGTCGTGGTTCCCGTAGCGACGAAAAATCAGTCCTCCATATTTGTGAAAATCAGGTTGACTACGAGGATCAACCTGCAGCCGCTCAAGAATGGGACTAAGTTCCGGATCCTTGGCTGTGTGCTCTACGAGCTCCTCCTTCAGTTTCTTCCGGAGGTCGTAGGATTTCACAAGGCAAGTCATGTACTCAGGGTGGCAAGGGTATGCGTCAGCGAGTCGATTATAAACATGGAACCAGCGAATTAACATGGGGACAGGGTAGTTTGCTCCTTGATCCACTTCAGGGTCTCATGATCTGAGAACACTTTGAAGTGGCGTCCCAAAAGATAATGCTTCGAATGGTCCAAAGCCATACGCAAAGCATAGAGCTCGCGCATGTAGGTGGAAGTGGCTACCTTTACGCTGGGCATCCGTTTGTTGTAGAATTCGAGCGGCCTTAAGCCATCCCTGTCATCTTGCTGCAGCACTGTGCCGATTCCATATTGACTTGCATCCGTAGTAACTACGAATGTCAGTTTGGGATATGCAATGCGGAGTACTGGGTAACTTACCAAGGCGTCTTTGAAAGCTGAAAAGGCGTTCGTGCACGCGATATCCCAAGAATAGGGAAAATTCTTACTTGTCAGTCGAGACAATGGACGCGCAACAATGGAGAAGTGGGGTACAAACTTCCGATAGTAATGATGCGAGACCAAGAAAAGAGCGCAGTTCGCGAACATTCACGGGATGAGGCCAGTTGCATATGCCCTCCACCTTGGT